CACTCCTATCTCCTTCCTGCCTTCTGATTCTATTTGCCATAGAAGCAAAAAGAATAAGCCTAAGCGAGGCCCCGAGGTCATCCACCCCTGCTTTTGTGCCAGGACAAGCAAACAACCTAAGCCAATTACTAACCGGTTTTTTTTAAAAACCTCCAATCAGAGAGACTCCTCGACTACTTTTTGTGAACTGTTGCTCCATGCAACTGCACACTCCACATGTCTTTCCCCATCTGTGTGTGCCCTTATCTCGCTGTTCTATTTTTTTCCTCATTTGCATTAACCCTTTCTCACCTTTTTTTGAACCTCCAGGACTTCTCAGAAGTGGCGGGAGACAATATTCCTCAGCAAAAAGCCAAGATAGTAAGGTGAGTCCCTAATCCCGGGGAACCCTAATCCCCAGCGAAGTGGGAAGGACAGTGGGGTGAGGTGATAGCACTCCTCATTTTATAAGGTATTTATTCTGCGGCTAAGCAAATACTCTCAATTCTTTTTAACCTCCCAAGACTGACACTTGTGAGTCTGTTTCCAAACCGGACACTAGAGGGCTCCCACGGGTTAAAAATAAGTGGGAAATTATTTGAATGAGAACTGCTTCTTTAAGGCATTTGCTCTTTCAGAATTTAAAATTAAAGCTCATTTCCTAAACATTTTTAAAAAATTAGCTGTATTAAAATCGGGTTACAAGAAGCCAAGTTTACAAGCAACTGGCTTGTTTTTTTGTGTTGCCCAGTAGTTTGCAAGGGAGCTTTTAAAGCCGAGCTGAAGTATTTGAAATGTGGAACACTCTTGACCATGAAATATGTTCTACTTACATGCCTCAGCCTTTCAAAGTTCTTTGCATTAGAGTCAGGGATTACATTGTTCCTGGAGCTGAGCATGGGGCCAGCTGTGTAAGTAAGGTTGCTTACAGTTTCTTCTTCTTTTTAATAATGTGAATAAGTAGAGCTAGGGATCCTTTAATTTTCCTTCAGCTGACTTTGGTGGAAAGAAAAGGGATAAAAAGTAGTCAGATCTGTGTGCTGTGTTTCTCCTTGTGTGTGTGACTAAAAATGTAACTGCTTTCAAGATATATGGGCATTTATGACTTTATATGGTGTTAACTATTTTTATATTAACTATTAATGGAAGATAATGGAACGTATTATGAAGAAAAACTGTACTGTTAGATTAAGAGAATATATTTTTGAATTTGAATGTTATTTAGTTAACTAATTAGTTAGTGCAGGATTTTAAAAAATATATATGGAATTTAGATAAATATTTAAAAAACCATCTATTGCTTATTTTTTAAATTATTTCTGAATTTCAAAAAGGAAAAGCCTGAATTTGTCAAACTTTAATGCTTTTCCTTCAGAATCAAATTGTAAGACTAGCTACACATTAAAAAATATTATTGGATTTTTGGGGCTTGTTCTCACTTGTTTAAACTGAATATCAAACCTATACATCTATTTTGTTTCTGTTTTTTAAACTTCATTAAAAATGTTAGTGGTGATATTAATGAAAGGAAAGAGTTACTTTTCTCTTTACTCTTGTGGAGGAACTGAGCTAGTATGAGGTTGTGACTCAGTTAACTCTCATTTCCATTCATTCTCAGAAACAAGCCACACTTCTCCTTGGGGAGGCTGATAGGAGTTTAAAAGGTTTGTTGTGGCGAGTGTCACAGACATTCCCAACTCCATCACCAACTCTTTGCTTCCACCTCTACCCACTGGAGACCACTTAGACACCTAAGCGGAGGCGATAGCAGAATTCAGGAAACCATGCATCATGTCACCGGGAGACAGCTGCAGACTTTAAACTCCGTTCACCATGCGGATGCGGCCGAGAAATGACCTGTCCAGGCAAGCCAGGGCAGCTCCTGAACTGGTTCCTCTGCTCCCTGTGCGTCCCGGGAGTGTGCAAGCTCTGGAGCAGCCGGCGCCCCAGGACCCGGAGGAACCTCTTGCTGGGCACTGCCTGCGCCATCTACCTGGGCTTCCTGGTGAGCCAGGTGGGGCGCGCCTCGCTCCAGCACAGACCCGCAGCGGAAAAGGGGCCGCACCGGCGCCGAGACACGGCCGAGGCACCCTTCCCTGAGATACCCTTGGATGGTACCCTGGCCCCTCCCGAGTCCCAGGACAATGGAACCACCCTGCTGCCCAATGTGGTGTACATTACCCTCCGCTCCAAGCGAAGCAAGCCCGCCAACATCCGCGGCACGGTGAAACCCAAGCGCAGGAAGAAGTATGCAGTGGCATCCCTGGCCCCAGCACAGGAGGCTTTGGTCAGACCATCCCTTCAGCCGCAGGGAGCAGCAGGGGCAGCTGATGCTGAAGTGCCTGGGTACATCCAGAGAGGAAACCTGGCCAAGGTCGGGGAAAGATCCTGGAGATTGATACGGGGTCCGGGAGGACCAGTTGGGGGCGCAGATTTCCAGCTGCCCCAGGCCAGGGAGAGCAACATCAGGATCTACAGTGAGAGCGCCCCCTCGTGGCTGAGCAAAGAAGACATCCACCGAATGCGCCTGCTGGCAGATGGTGCCGTGGTGGGCTTCCAGCCAGTGTCCTCTAAGAGCCAAGCGCATTTGCTGGTGCTGGAGGGGAGCACCGCTGGCTCTGTGCCTGGTTGCGGCTCTAGCCCCTGCGGGCTGGTCAAGCAGCCCTTGGACATGAGTGAGGTGTTCGCCTTCCACCTGGACAGGATCCTGGGTCTCAACAGGACCCTGCCTTCTGTGAGCAGGAGAGCAGAGTTCATCCAAGGTAACAAGCTTCACATGCTTCGTCCTTTGCAGCTGTTGGGGTTGATTTTCTCTTTTCCCTCACTCTCTTTTTCTAAATGATTTTCTCCACCCACGTTTCACATTTGGACAGCAGCAGCAGCAGCAGCAGCAGCGTCTTTCCATATGCTTGGCATTCGTTATTGTCCCAGCCTTGGGATATGAGCGTTCCAGGGAAATGCTGTACTCAACATGCAAGAGTAAGCCTACACTGTATAAACTTTGCTCCCCATTTCCCTGACGGCACTTCCCAGTGGGTTATTAAATTTAATTAAAGCCCATGGCGATTTGCAGGATGAGGGGAGGAAGCCAGGGTGGAGGCAAAGGTCTTGCTGACAGTCAGGCATATTATGAGATAGGTTACTATGGAAGTAAGTCAAATTGTGGTCGTTTGGTTTTTGAAAGTAAGGGGGAAGTGGGTTTTATCTTTCTTGAGCAGATGGAATCTTTTTAAGGAGCCCAGAGCCAGATCACGTTAGATTCAGTCTTTTGATTTTTCACAATGGATTTAACCCCTTTATTTAACAAAGACCATGAGACAAAGAGGTGATTTGCCCAATGCTAACGAGCCATATCGGATTTTGTGGGGTTTTTTTTTCAAGTGCATGACTATGGTTTACTGCAGTGGTTCTCAACCTTGGCTGCACATTAGAATCACCTGGGAATCTTTTTAAAATCCTGATTTCTGGGCCTCATCCTCTGGAAATTCCCTTTCTTTGTTACTAATGTTGTGGCCTCACCCCATAACAAAGAAACAGAATTTCCGGAGGATGCGGCCCAGAAATCAGGACTTTAAAAAGATTCCCAGGTGATTGTAATGTGCAGCCACGGTTGAGAACCACTGGTTTACTGAGTCTGAGTTCCAAGAATCTCTCAGGTGACAAACATTTTGTTAGGTTCTGAGTAGGTAGCCAGTCACTTCCATTGCAAGTAAAGGGGCTGGCCTGTGGCCATGCTCTTGCCCCATTGAGGATATTCTCTGAGTTTTGAGGCTCTTCCAGAATACAAAGTAGAGTGGGTCAGGGGCTTGTATCTAAAAGCAGAAGAAACACAGAAGTTGCTACTGTGAACCCAGGCTTCCCCAAGAGGCTCAAAAGGACTCCAAAGAGATGACTGTAAACTAAGAGACAATTACCTTATTCCTTGTCACCATGAAATTTAGTATTTTAGTGAGATTCCCATGGAGTCTGAACAGGAATGGATTAGAACTCTAGATTCCCAATGGAGTTGGGATTATAATTTCATTTTAGAACTGCCAAACCTTTAAGTGAAGCACCAGTGATTGACTTAAAAGTCTGGCATTTCTTACTTATCCTGGCTCATGTCTGAGTGCTTCAGATTCATAGATATGTTTTAATGTCTCAAGTTCACAAAGTAGTCAACCATGATAGCCTCTCACACTTTTAATCCAATGTTGGTAAAAGCTAATTGTTATTGGGTGCTCACTGTTTGCTAAGAATGAATGGCTCATATAGTTCATACACGCGTTGACTCCTATGGTTCCCACAACAATGCTATCAAGTGGGCACTATTATTATTTCCAGTTAGTACATGAGAAAATTGAAGCTTATTTAGGCAAAGTAATTGACTCCCTGTAATCTTAATGGCTAAATTAGGTTTCGAGCATAAACCCAGTAAACTTTAGAACATAAGCTCTTAACTTACGCTGGGTTTAGGTGACTGTATCCTGTATTATTAAAACTGGAACACCCTGGAGTAAGAGAAGATTTGGGTGGGCACTGAGACAACAGCATACACTGTGGCTGTCTGGGGCAAAGCAAGACATAGGGTCATCCTTGTTATGTTATACTGCCCTTTATTTTTATGTCAGCACTAGAGGCCCAATGCATGGATTCATGATTCATGCACTGGTGGGGTCCATTGGCCTGGCCTGGGGGGGTCAGGCCGAAACTGGCTCTCTGACATACCATGAAGGGTCCCAGATTGTGAGAGGGTGGTTCTCAGGTGATGCATCCCAGAAATGGGCTCCTTCCTCTCTGGTTCTGGGTGCATCACCCAAGAACCACTGCTGCCAAGTCACCGCAGCTCGGCAGCTCCTGTGTTGAGTGTCTGCCCCTTGGTGGTCAGTGTGCATTATACTGGTAGCTATTGGTCAGAGCGTCTGCCCCCTGGTGGTCATTGTGCATCATAGCTCCTGGTTGGATGATCAGACGGTCGCATAGGCTTTTATATATATATAGATTAGAGGCCCGGTGCACAGAAAATTTTGTGCACTCGGGGTAGGGGGGGTCCCTCAGCCCAGAC